AGTTGAGTGAAGAGAACACTCCAAAAACCGAGAGAGAATGAATCAAAACAAGAATAATGATGCGAAAAGTTCTAATTAAAACTCAAAATGTATTGTTGTATAATGATTGCTTCTCGCTTTGATTTGATAATAGTGATTGATGCCAATGGCATTCAGAGTTGCGAATAATAACTGAAACCGATATCATAGCTAACTACGAATGGAGTTTTCAGGGAACACTCATGACGACTGATCATGAGATTGTTTTCGAATTTACTGTTTCGCAATAGACTGTCTTTTGGTGATGAAATTTGCTAGATGAATGTCAATAGAAATTTCAAAACCTTTGAGCAAATTGCAAGTACCGTCCGAGTTCGATGGCCTTAAAACTCCTATCAGCTATTAACAGTGACTATGATTGTTGGGTATTTCTCGTGATTTCTTGCCTTCACAATTCCAGCGAGACTCCATCTCCGATTATTATGAATGCCAATGGAATTGTTCGAAAATCTGTGTACTTTTCGATAATATGACCGCTTATTTTACAGACATTTTAAATGAATTTTACAACGACGCTTCATTTGTGAATCTTAAAAGTAATTTGATGGGTCATCTCATATTGGACATGCACACAATTCATATTGTTAAGCAGTAATCATTGTGAAATGTTATTGCCGCTGTTTCATACATTCTATTTTCCAGTATTTGCAATTCATAATTTTAATCTACCGTTTCTGATTATTGTTTCTGTTCTTCAAATTCTTCACAATAAAGATTATGCTGTAAATATGATTGTTGTTTTTCTACGACAGTTGTTTTTCCAGTCACGATTCAGAGTAATTTAAAATGGTTCCAGCGACCCACGAATAAAAGCATTGTTTCAAAGTCTGAATTATATATCCATAATTGGATGAAGTGTATTTGCACAGTTTTATTTTACACATGAATTGAGCTCATTAACGAAAAATCATAATTTTTTATCCGTATGTCAATGACAGGAAGTTCATTCGACAAATTCTCAATAATAAAATTGAATTATAATCATTATTAAACTTCAGTTCGGGAATCATTGAATTGTCGTGTAGACTATCTTCAATAATATGTTATACTGTCGCTCATTAAACTCTGATAATGAGTTCAAATTCAGCATACAGCCTTTTAGTGTCATAATTCGTCGAAAGTTGATCAAACTGCAAGCCTCCACTGCAAGTCAACATTTGATATGACAATTAATATCACATGATCTACATTGCGCGTAACGATTTTAAGATGTCTTTTGTACTGCTTCAGCAATCTTAATTACAGCATTTCAACGTCTATTACATCCAGCCACCGGTTGTTAGTTAATTTCGTGTTCTTATAGCGCAATGACATTCATGAAATTGTTTGTTGATGATATGGCAGTGTGGTGAAGACTAACATTACTATTATCAGTTCACTGCAATTGCCATTATCGCATTCCACGAAAAGCGTAGAATTGAAGAGTGTGTCCATAGAAATTTGCCTAGTAACCACGTTGCGCTGCCAATTGAGTGCTGAACATTCGATTGAATTTCTTCCCAACCGAAATGACGTAAATTGAAGAAATTTTCTGCAGTATATCAGTTGAATGAAAGTATTTTCTAGATGTTTATGCGAGACAGTAGTTAATCGAATTATTTGTGAAATTATGATCAATGTCATTTGCTTAAAACTTACAATGTTTTGGGTGATTTTGCCAGATTTTGATTATTCTGAGGTTTGCAAACTCAGTTCTGTTCAGTTCACTTGCATGAGCAGAACTGTTTTAAGGAACACAGTGGTTCTATCGAAATTGGTGATGAATGCGATCATCAAACGATGCTTGTCATCCACGGCTGCTTCTCCTAGAGCAATCACTGTAAGTTGTCTCGAAACTATCGAAACGATCGCAGAAATTCGAGACAAACATCAAAATTTCGCCTTATCCTTAGCGAAATTCAAAACAATACTATTGCTTGAAATTGCTCAGTGCTTGCTAGTTGAATCTACTGATAAATATTTTCATTGATCATTGTTCATCGTTCCGCTACGTTATCAATCAATATCAGTCGTGTTTAATGTGATCAACGGAATGATTCGTTTCAATAGAAATCATTGATCACATTACTCTTACAACCGAAAATATTATTGTGAAATAAATGGAATCGCTTTTCGTTTGCTCACGAGTGCCTAAAACAAGTTTGGTGACGACAGAAAGTGCACCCTCTAAATTGCAACATATGACGAAAATCTGAGTGAAAATATTTGAGAAGAAATTCAGTTTTGAATGAGATAGATTTGAGCAGTGAATTTATAGGGCCTTGGGGTAGTTTATGGTGTTGATCTATGAGCATTCTCCATTTGGAATTGACGATTAGTTCAGAGTTATCAAATTTCTGGATAAGATATGAATTTTAACCGTTTAGAGGCGCAAGTCGAAGCATTTTCAGGAGGTGGTTTTCGTGGGAGCAGCAAGAACTCCACTTGGATCATTCCGTTCTGTATTCAAGGATACACCAGTCACCACTTTAGGAGCGGAAGCTCTGAAAGGTGCTCTAAAAGATGCAAACGTCGATCCAAAAATGGTTCAAGAGGTAAAAATCACGCTCGTCTCAAGAGATTCGAAAAAAAAAAGAATCTTGCATTCATAAGAAGTCCACTTCTGACATCTTCAATCGGAATAAATTGAAATAATTCCATCGAATTCCTTATGGAATATCATTGATGATTATCAAACGATCGAAGATTACACCCTTCCAATTCTAGGCTTTCATTGGCTGTGTGGTACCATCGAACGCAGGACAAGGACCGGCTCGCCAAGTCGTACTAGGGGCAGGTTCGCTCTTTTCTATGAAGGGAATGGGATAAGTGAGTCTCTAAGGGGTAGTTTGATGGCTCGAATGTGATCTTGAGATTCCAGCAATATCTCGAGAACTGTTCATTGATATTGTGCATTCCAGGATGCAAGGTCAGCACAACTGTGACGGCCTTAAACAAAATGTGTGCGTCTGGAATGAAGGCAATCGCGTGTGCGTCATCGTTGCTCCAATTGGGCTATCAAGATGTGAGTTTTGCTCTGAGCTCATTTGAGCCTCATCGATTCTGAACTGATAGCAGGAAGACACCTCCATAATACTGAAGAAAACACGACTGTGCGAGGAAATAATTTTGCAATTCAAAATTGATTTATGACTCGAAATGGGACCACTAATTCGTCGATTTTTCAGTTGGTAATCGCCGGTGGAATGGAGAGTATGAGTTGTGTACCGTATTATTTGCCGCGAGGCGAGCTTCCGTTTGGTGGAGCTCAACTCATTGTGAGTGGAATTTCAACACATCGTCTATCACTAGAACGTTTTTCCTTGAATACCATCCAGTGAATTCTATCAGCACATCTGAGGGGCCAGTCTCAGTTGGATCATTTCAGGATGGAATTTCCAGAGACGGTCTTAAAGATGTCTACAACGATATTATGATGGGTGCTTGTGCGGATAAAGTGGCCAAAGAGTTTTCGATCACTCGTGAGGAACAAGACGAATTCGCGATTGAGAGCTACAAAAGATCAGCCGCAGCATGGAAGGTGCATTCAGTTTTGCTAAACATAGACTTAAAATAACAAATATTGACGGGACACGAAGTGGGTTTTAAAAAAAATTCAGAATGGAGTGCTCGATGCAGAAGTTGTTCCTGTGAAAGTGAAACAAGGCAAAAAGGATATCACGGTCACAGAGGATGAAGAATACAAAAAGGTCGTCTTCGAAAAAGTGCCAATGCTGAAGCCAGCTTTCACTAAAGGTCAGCGCTTCCTAATACCTTTACTGCTTCACGTTGATTTCGTCAAGCCTCTCAAAAAGACTTATTACTGATCAATTCATATTTTTTCAGTGTTCCATCATTGTGAGAAAATGTGCATCATATCCAAGTATTCGATAGGCACTTAGCTTATTTTGAAGGAATACCGTTGAGTTCACTCGAAGCCTTTTCAGACGGAACAATCACAGCAGCGAACGCTTCAACGTTAAACGATGGAGCTGCGATGGTTGTGATGACAACGATGGACTATGCGAAGAAGCACAACTTGAAACCACTGGCGAGAATGTTGGCATACGGTGATGCAGCCACACACCCCATTGATTTCGCTGTAGCACCTTCAATGGTTATTCCAAAGGTTGGCTCTGGTGTCGAGGAAAATTTTTATAATGAAATTTTTCGACGGAAGAATTGATGTCTGATTCTAATGAAAAGTGAGAGAAGTCAACATCTTAAGAAGTGAGTAAATAGTGCAGAACGCTTTCAGTTATTGATACTCTCAAGCATAGTTTATTCACTGCCCTTTCAGATTCTCAAAATGGCCAATCTCGAAGTGAATGATATCGATCTGTGGGAAATTAATGAAGCGTTCGCAGTTGTGCCACTGCATTCAATGAAGACATTCCATTTAGACCATGCCAAAGTGAATATCCACGGTGGTGCAATCTCGCTGGGTCATCCAATCGGGTTCGTTTCCAATCGATCGCTTATTTGATTGATTTAGCAATTGATTTCTACTGAGTGTTCGGTAGAAATTTGTCAGATCCAACACCATGAACTTGTTTCCAATGGATTGCAGAATGTCTGGTGCACGAATAATTGGGCATTTGGTGCATACACTGAAGCCAGGTCAAAAAGGATGTGCGGCGATATGCAACGGAGGTGGCGGGGCCGGTGGAATGATCATTGAAGGTCTTTAAATTGGCTGTGGTCAATCCAGATTCCACAATTATGATCTTCGGCTAGAACCTCACAGTCACATCCATGTTTATAATTGGTGGCCTCATATCGCTAATTATTTTCATACTTGTGTTCTTACTATTAATTATTGTGTTGACTTGTTGCATTCTATTTGATGCGACCCAGTGACCATTATTATCATTTAATGCCTGATTGGTGGACTTCGTTAGATTATGTTTTATTTACGAAACTGCTGTAAATATAAAAATTCATTTTTAATCTGTTTCTCTGTTGATATCACATCGCAAATGTAATGAGTCATTCATCCAAGCACCATTACAAGTCATAGTTCGGAAACGCCTAGCGAAATTCTATCCCGTCGTTTACTGACGATGAGCATGCAAAATTTTCTAAGAAACTAATCGAGAAGACACTCAATCCGATGTGTGGCGAGTGATGAAAGGATTATATGATTTGTTAAAAGCATTGAAATAAATACTCGAGAATAGTGCAAAAAAAAAGAATCTTCTTTTATTCTCATCACTGCATGTCGATATGTTGGCTATCTCGTCAACATCTTCGAACAACTGCTTCTGATGAGCTCTGTGGACTTGGGCAAGCTCAGCATACAATTACTTTGTAGGTGCATTAAAAAAAACATGATTTCTGATGAGTGATAGGTTGCAATAGACTCCATTAAAAATCTGCTAATATCAGTTTTTTCTCAAAGTGAGTTCCATTATGAGATATATTGAGAACTCACCAACTGTTCTGTTTGATTCAGTTCAAATTGCAGTTTACCTGATTGATTGATAACTGAAATATCTGCAATGTGCATCGGTTCTATGCGCAACAATTGAGTAAGTGATTGCTATTGCAAAAAACCAATCAGATAACCTTGAAAAGGAAAACCACATGATACGTATGGAATTTAATCTGCGTCAAGCATGATAGATTATCGATTCTAAGAATTGTATTTCACCGGCTCTGAAGCGGATTAAGTTTCGAATATTGAACCGTTAAAAGATTAAGCGTCAACCATCGTATACATATGGATTCTGATGGAGCTGTTCCTTCGGTATGCATCGAATCTGTTATCTCTCTCCTCAAAGCGCCAATAACTGGTGAAATGTCCATGGAATTCGTCGATCTACCAATGTATTCAATTGAAAACATTTCATTTTGATGCGTACCAAGAAATAATCACTAATTGTAAGCAGAATGTTATTCGTATTGTTTTTGGAATCCTCTTGGATCTAAAGAACCTTCTCGGATACATTCTTATACCGGAATCGTAGTCGTTTGCCCCTGAATAATACGATTCATTCAATAGTGCATTATGCATGTAATATTTCAATAGTGTTATGAAACTGACGGCTCGTTCGAAAGAGGATTATGTATGCTCTTGTGCTAGTGAATGCACATATATTATAGCAGCGTGTGTACACGGCATAATATTATGTAGTGCCCACAGACGATTGACTGAGAATATTGAATATATTTGGTATGTTCGGCAATAATGTAGTTGTTCAGTTGAGTGTTCAAGCAAGCAAACAGACGTAAACGATTTTATTTGTGTAATTACAAAACATTTAACTGGAGTTGCGACTTTCTCACTCAGAACACTGCAAAATACTAAACGAATGCATGCTGAAATTGGAATCTTGAAAACTTTTGGAATCACTGAAATTCAATAGTCTGCGAAATTTTCCACAATTGATCAGCTAAATTCAGTGTGTGCAAATCAATCAATCACAGCAACATTTCAGCTTTTATTCGTATACTTTTTTTTGCAGAGTTCCGGTTGAGAATGTTCAGATCACAATAATAACAATCTATCGAATGGTTTTGAGAGCGAGTTTACAATTTCTCGATGATCATACCACCGGCACCACCACCACCGTTGCAGATTGCGGCACATCCGATTTGTCCTGGTTTCATGGCGTGGATCAAGTGAACAATAATACGGCAACCAGACATACTGAAATTATATTCTTACAATTAGAGTTCCAAAAACTTCATTTGTGGCTTGTATCTTCGCCGAA